GTTAGCCATTAAAGCTGTGGCTGAATGATGTACTCATCTCTTAACGCTCCAAGAAGTCTTTGAAAAGACTTGACTCACATGGCGCGCTCTGTTCCTGAATGACCATGATCTCGTCATGCTCCTCCCCCTGTAAATTCTGAAAAAAAAAGCCTGACGGATGTAGAATCAGGCGATGTGTAATATCCTGTAGTGAGTCTGATGGGTGTGCATGCGACATGGCTCTACAAGCTCACCACTGAGGCTCACCAGGTGTGGAAAAGGAACAGCGTATCCAAATGGCCTTCTGTGGGAAAGTGAGCTGTCTGTGTTTTTTTTCAGCTCCAATTGTTCAGCTGTTTTTATCAACTGCGTGGGCTACATAATTTGTTTATATCAGAGTACAGACTGTTTACACTTCCTAATCATCAGCAGACGACAGCAATATCTTTCCCAGAGAAATCTGATAATGTCTATAACAGATTCCATTTCAATTTTAATTCATGGCAATTTGATTCATTGCCCCAAAGCCTCGATCTCGAATATGATGGTGTGAGACAAGTGAAATAATGAGACAGGAAATCATGTGACTCATTGGGGCAAATCATATGACTCACACCTGAGTCACTGAGGGGTCTGAAGATGATTCATCAAAAATAATAGGCGGGATACTATACATGTTGTATACAATCAGAAGGAAAGAGAGCATGTGAATAAATTATACATGAGCAGATGCTGAAATGAGAGATGTTAGGCTACAAGGATGCTGATGCAAAGTAGTGGCAAGTAGGGGTCATATCCTCTAAAGATGGAAATGACCCCTAGATGGCAGTATTGCTATGATCAGCACATCATCTCAGTGATAACAGTACTGCACGTTTCATACTTTTCGTCAAGGTTAGTTCCCTGTATGACTTTATATAATGATAGAAAGCTGTAAAGGGGTTACTTTTATACTGCATACTGCATATAATATACTGTAAAATTTGGAACCAGTTGTCATTCATAATTGCTGTTATTTTATTCAATTATAGCTTTCAATATAGATTGAAGTACTGTAAGCTTGACACCAGAATGTATTCATCTTATAAGATGAATTATTCAATATTTCAAGTTTTTTGGGAACAACAAGAAGTTATTAAATGATAGTATACTATTATTATCTATGAACAGTCATTTTTAAGAAATTTCCAGGTAAATTATGCCTCAAGATTTGATCACCACTTTTCAAAAATGAGGCATTCTTTATGTTGTTTTAATTGAACTTAATCTCAGTGTTATAGAGCTTTTTGGAATCATATTCAGCTCTGTTTATCATTCTGGACACAAAATGGTTGGTTTCCTAGACAGGGATTAAGCCTAGTTCTGGACTACACAGAATTCTCAATGGAGACTCTCTGTTGAAAGGAAAATGGAGTCCAGGTCTAGGCTCAAGCCCTGTCTGGGAATCAGACACCTCGAGTTTCTGAATTTTTCACAGCTTCCTACACATTATTTGGAACCAATGAAGTTGTAGAGTAGTATCATCATATTAGGACAAATCTGTGTCTTCAAGTGGTTGGTTTTATACTGTTGAAAACAAACTTTTGAACAGTAAAATTTATTTTCTCACAATACTTTTATTTTCTATCTCTAGTTGTCCCCAGAGGAACTCGAACGGCGAAGGATTAGAAGGGAACGAAACAAACTTGCTGCAGCCAAGTGTCGGAATCGCCGCCGCGAACTGACAGACACGCTTCAAAGCGTAAGCTGATTTTTTTTACACATGCACTCATCATGACAGCTTTAACAGCTTTATGTGCTTCTTAACTGATGCAGACCAAAATTCACCACAAAACTTCTTTCACAGGAGACAGACCAGTTAGAAGACGAAAAGTCTCGTCTGCAGAAGGAGATTGCTGATCTGCAGAAGGAGAAAGAGAAGCTGGAACTGGTTCTTGAGGCTCACCGACCCATCTGCAAAGTCCAAGACTCTGATTCAGACTCCGACACAAGCTCTGGTTTTCCTTCACTGGGTGGAATCAAACTTGAACCTGCGGATTCTGAGCTACCCGGACCCTCTGGGGAACACAAGGGCCACGCCAAGCAGGAGAAACCCAAGCCTAAAATAACCATTCCACCTCCACCTTCAACCTGTGCTGCCAGTACCGTCAATCCAGAGTCAGAATCTCTCCACACTCCCATCCTCATCTCTACCCCGTCTCTGACCCCGTTCACAGCCAGCCTGGTCTTCACCTATCCCACTCCCTCGCTTGAAGCAAGCGCCAGTGCATTGTCTCAAACAATCAGCCATTCTTCAGCCGCCACATCTCAGCATGGTACGTCCCATCCCGCCCGAAACCCAGAGCCATGTGGTATCGCCCATCGCCGCAGCAGCAGCAGTGGAGACCAGTCAGATCAATCTCTTAACTCACCAACCATCCTGACCCTTTAATTTACACTTCTCTCAATGGGAAACAAGTGCTTTGAACTTTCACAGGTGTCTTTAATACTAGGTCAGAAGAACACAGGTACATTGTAAGTTTACTGTAGAGAACACTTGTAGCTATGGATGCACAGTGCCTTCATTCTGTCTTCAACTGGCATTACTGATGGTTATTCTTATGTAATATGAGATGAACAATGCAGAATTATAGAAAGAAATAATAATAGAGAAATAAAGTTTACAGAATATACACTTACATATACTTAATAGTTTATATATTATTGTATATAGTTTTAATATCTATATTACTAAAGGTGTAACTACAAACTATGGTTCTATACTATGAAAATTATTTAATAGTATAATTTTCTTTCTCATAGAGATGTGCATTATTGATAAATGTTTGCATGACAACTAGACATATAGAAATATGGATGGTTGGACAGATATATAACGTTGCATTATAACCATGTATCTAGGACTTTCTGACTCATGTAGGCCTATCACTGTGTTTGGATGCACATTATTACTGTTATTTATGCATTTTATACCTTTCTTTATGCAATCCAAAGCTATGAATATATTAGTGATATTTTTATAGAGTACAGTGTATTAAGCTACATCTTGATGGAGGTTACAGCATGTTCTGTGCCTTCTACATTATGCCTACAAATAAACATTGAGGGCCAGAAACATGCATTTCAATAACAGTTACACTGGTTACAATGTTCTATTTACAGATTATGAACAGAGACTTAGACAAACATGCACTTAAATATTTTTATTAGATGCTAGCTATGTGTGTTCCTTTTCTATAAAACTTTATCCTGTTGACTATCTAGTTGTAGTTAATATGCTGAAATCTATAATGTGAGCATTATTACAATATATTTGATGCACTACTAGGGATGGACCATAGAATTTTAACAGATTTGTATTTATTTTTGAGAGCAAACTATATTTTTGACATCTTTGAAAACCGAAGAAAAGTGTTGCACGCTGTACGACATTTAAGGGAGTAATAATAAACAATGGTTTAAGTTGTTTGTTTTTTTGGGGGGTACTGGTTGAAAAAACTCTAAAGTTTGTTCATTTCAATCAATCAGTCATTTCATTTTGTGCCTTAAAACAATACTCTGTGTGATACTGTTTGTAACTGCTGAGTGTATTTCATTTGATATGCAGACTTCTCTGGTTGCACTAATAAAAAAGGGAAAAAAGAAAGAAAAATGTTGCTGTTGATTGAAAACAGAAGCAGAGTACTGTTACCAAGCCACATTGGAGCACACTGGGGGGATGGGAAGGGGGAAAGGAGGAGTCAACCCTGTTTCCTTTTAGGATGTCCTGGCTGAAAGAAAAGAGAAATTCCCTGACTCATACTCGAGGTAGACCTAAAGCGAGTCATTAGAAAGTGTTCTGACCACATCCTCAACTATACACTAAATAGTAATAAAATAAAAGTACACACACAATGAATTCAGCATGGTAAGGATTACTAAATGTTAGTTAGTAAAGACTTTTGTTTGTTAGAGGGCTGCTGTGAGAGCTGTGTTCTACCTAGGGGTGAGCAATATAATATTTTATTGTGTTATGATAAATTATGTCACAATATCATCACTGTCCAAAGAAAAGCAAGTATTTTTGCTACATCATTTGAACACAACAGCTGCTCTTTACATTGTGTGAAAATGTCATGTTGAATAAACCCTTAGAAATGCTCCAAGATTACTTGGAATAACACCTCTTTACATTGACTTACACTGATGTTTTTGCCTTTTCATGTAAAGTTACTATTTTGGAGATGCTTTTTCTTTGGACAGAGATGATATGCTGAGAACAAAATTCACAGAACACAACAACTGCTTGATTAATTGCAAGACAGCATAATTAGTCCTTATTAACAGGATTTACTGTAGAACTGTATGTAAAATGCTAAAGAAAATGGTTGTATTCTTAGTTCTTTAGTGTTTAAAAAAACAAATATTGTAAACATAAATGAAAACATCATGTATCATGGTATTATGTTTTTGCCATATCACCCACCCCTACTTCAACCTAGCATATAAGACCATGTTGAGCAATGTCAACAAATAGAGGGTACAGAGTAAATAAAATACAAATAACCTGGAAATGAAAAAGGAATAAATGGAAACAGAGCTAGAATAGAACAAGATCCAGTGTGACAAGGGCAATATTTACTAGCACAGAAAGCAAATTGAATAAACCTGGTGACCCTGATTCAGACACACAGTCTTCTGTTAGCCCTCTAAACTAAAGAGAGGCTCTTACTCAAAGCTTGGTGAACATATGATTGAGATAGTGAAGAGCGAGTTTGTGCTGAGCGAGTGAGTGCATGCGTTGATAAAAGGACCTCTGTACACTCCACTTAGAGTATTACTGTTCTGACCTTGCTGCTGTGCAAACAGCAAGCCAAAAATATAACATGGAACACTTATGTCTTCAGGCCTCAAACATGACCAGAGACTTTTCGTACATGTCAATCAACAGTCTTTACCTGGCTTGTGAATACACAGATCAACACAACCTTTGACATGTATGCAATGTAAATGCCCACTGCACAAAAAAGACCATCACAGAATTGGGTGTCTCAGTCAAGTGTATTTTAAAGCTCTCCCACTCACAATGATCATGGCCCAAAACTACAGCCAGAAACAAAGCCACTAATCAAAGATTGATGCTATAAACAGAAAAAATCCAGTCATCAAAGTAATACTGATTATAATATACTGATCAAAAAGTAGGTCTAAACCAAAACATTTATATGCATGATGACCTTGTGGTAGGCAAAAATACAATGAATTGAAGAAAAAAATAATCATAGTAATAATAGATGTGACAATATTACAAATTCACATACGTCTCTGTATTGTCCACCAGTTGCCAGTGTGTAAATGCAGTGTGTAGTCTAGTAAAATCCAATCAAAGCAACCACCAAACACAAAAAAGCCTGGCATAGCAAGTGTGTGCAGTTAAATCATAAAGCTGGGTCAATGCAGGAAAGTTCAGCTGAGATCCAGTGCAGTACTCAATAAGACAGTTTAGTGTAATAAACCTTACTACACCAACCAGTACATCATAACGTGGAAAAAGTATACTGTTTCTGAATGTGCAGTTTCAGTGAGGCATTGCGAGGCCTCCAACAATACAGCCACGTCATGGAGAAGGGTCCCGAAGCCAGACCCTATTGAGCAATCCAATAAACTTTAAACCGGAGGCCTCGTTTTGACCAGCACTTTATGTTGTTTGTCTTGAGTCACCCTTGGAAATGATTCAGTGCTGTTTGTGCATGATCTCAAACAGATCATTTTATGGCTCTAAGCAGTTTAAAAACATGAATCTTTCCGAGATTCATTACAGCCCTGTCTAGTGCATCATTAAAACATCAGCCCACTTGAAATACAGTTCAGTGCACAGTAAAACCTGGTGTGAGTCAGCAGTTTGATTGGTTCTTCCCATTTTTTTTTTCAAAAGTCCACCTCCTTCTGAACACTCTTATCACCTATATACAACCCCGTTAGAGAGGAGAGGGGAACATCCCAGTGATTTCAATACTTACATTTAAATAATGGATAAAAATACAATGTGAAACAGTTAAAATAAAGAATAACTTCAACACTTTAAACTATTCCTATCATGTCTGATACCAATGGTAAAGAAATTTCATTCACATTTAAAAAGTCCATCTACATCGGGAGAAAATCAACAACACCCTAAAGAGAAAAGAGGAAATAAAAGAGAAAAGAATGGTGCCTAATAGCCACCGTCAATGTCAGAATGAACAAATTCTTTCACATCTGTCCAGCTGAAGTAGTCAAGATGTGGGCCTAATGACAACAAAAATCACAAAACTGCCTTGCTCCTCTGGTTTGCCCACATCAGTTCCTTTTCTGTTGTTCTCTGAGAAGCAGAAAAAGTGCTATGGCTCTTCAGTCATCTGGTGAGCACACCAGGTGGAGCTGGTCTGGACTACCCACGCTTCCCGTGCTCGAGCTGCCATCCCCCAGGTCCCGGGCCACCATACATGGGAGGTTTAGCTCCGTCGACCCACCTGGGCTAGAATCACTCCTGCTAACGCACTCCTCCTCCAGCACTAGACACAGTTCCTTCAGATCCAAGTTCTCCTTCACCAAGCCGTCCTGCATGCGCTCCAGGTCAGCCAGCTTCTTCAGGTAGCCGCCCAGGTCCTCCCTCATCACCTTGGCGGCATGGTGGCCAAACAGCTGCCACTCTCGGGCCAGCTTCTTCACCTTCAGCCGGTCATCATCCAGAAAACAGCACAGATCCCGCAGCTCTTGGTTCTCCTCTTGAAGCCGCTGGTTGATGGCTTTGAGCTCCCTGATTTCAAGCAAATGTCCCTGAAGCTGTTTGTTCACTTCTTTAATGAGGCGACCACGTTGTATGAGCGCTGACATCTTGTCCGATTCCTCTTTCCGTAGCCTGTTTATGAGCTCTTCTTTAGAGCAAGACAGCAAATCCTCATCAGATAACTTTGCTAACTCTTGGTTCAGGATTTCACCGTCGCTCCCCATCTTGCTTCAACTGTCAATTGATGTCCTGAAAGACAGATTACAGATTTGATTGTCCTGATTAAAAATAAAATGTTGAAGTCAGTTAACCAGTAAAGTTTGTTGCATATTAGGCTGGACACAGCAGAGCAGCTAGGAACTCCTCAGCTCTCACGTTGAAGAGGCACATGTAATGTCAGTCAGGCTCCTCCAACATGGATCTCTCTCAATACACCTCGTTCCCAGGCCTTCAAGACTCAAGATACGGCGCATTTCCTCCACGTCTTTCGACCTCTTCCCTACACGGGCGTTGCATAATCCCAACGGAGCATCCTCATCCTCATTTAAGCCTGCTCTGAGCTATATGAAACCTGAACAAGTAATTTCCACCTGGGGTTTGCTGGCTTGTTTTGTTTACAATGCAGCGGTTATGAACTAGCCTGTATTAGCATCGTGCCTTTGGCCGCTGTAGGCTAACGGTAGTGAACGGCGCTGTTACCCAGCATAGCTCACTCTATCCGACGGGGTCCTGAGAGGTCGAGAAGTGGAAGCAGAGGTTTAGATTAAAGGCGAATGTGCATCTTTATCTTCATATCTTCTAGCAGGAAATCACCACAACGTCCGCGCTTCTGTCGCCTCTCTCTCTCCCTCTATCTCTCTCTCTCCTCACACGCATCCGTCTCTCCCCGCCCTGCCTCCCCACCTCATTCCACTGCTCTGTGGGGAAATGTGCTAGCACCAAAAAACGTCTTTCCCACGTTTTTCAGACGAAAAAAACATCCGAACGTAGATATTTCAACGATGCGTTGCAAACGTGAGGAATAAACGGAGAAAACAGAGTGAGGAAAAAATGTAGGACAGCCTCGTGCTGGAGATTGCGGTTCAGCATCATAAAAAAAGATGTCTGATAATCCGCTGGCTTTGGCGAGGCTTAATTTTCAGTGCAAGTTGGTTTTATCCGCGAGTTGTAAGATGGAGAATTTTATATGTTTTCTTTGAAGATGAACTGCCCCTTCGCTTCATGCAGTCATGGTAGTGGCCGTTGTTATCTCTCTCTCTCTCTTGCTCTCTGGTATCTCTCTCTCTCTCTCTCCTCCCCCACTCTTCCTCACCCTTCCTTCCCTTTGGTCTTCCCTTACCGTAAGAATGTGTGTTGCTTTTGTTACCCCCCAGCCCCCCCACTGCCCCTGTCAAAATGACATAATTCCATAAAAGTCCCCACTAATCAGTATTCAAAATGTCCTCAACTGCATGCTCATGAGATTAGATAACTGCACTCACAAGAAGTCACAAACACAGCTTGCTGTTTGTTGAGATCCCCAGTTGACCCCTGTAACCCCAGCCCCCTTCTCTTTCCCTTACACTGGCTCTACCCAAATGTGCCTGGACAAAGCACACACACACACACACACACACACACACACACACATAATGACGGAAAGAGTTACAATAGACTTTTCTGTACTTTAATCCATGGTATTCAGCCATATCCTTCCGCCCTGCTCCCCCCCACACTATTGTTACCACGAGACCATAACAATGTGGGGTGTTAGTGGAGGGTGAGAGGGGCGGGCATGGAAACAGGCCACTGTGAGGTAAAATAAACGGGGTGGGGTGAGCAGCAGCATGTGAGACACCGAAGTGCTAAACAAAAAGCCAGCTGACAATTTTGTGCTGTTTCAACAGATTTTGAGTGACGCCGAGAATTGGGAGGGGAGAGGGATTTGGGATTTGGAGAGGATTTATTTTGATTAATTGGAGTTAGAGGAAAGCGTACTTACCCAACTTGTTATAAAAAAAAGCACTATTCACTAAGTTTGGATGGCCCCTCCATCACAACTGATCTTGTGAAACTGCACAAGTTAATTTTGTACAGACTGGACGTTACGATCTTTGCAGAGAGGAGCAGCCTTAGGATGACTTAAGCGGGATATACTTGACCACAATGTAATTTCACAGTCAAGGATTACTTGTAAGATTACACTGCTAAGATTAGAGCAAGAACTGGAGTGAAAAAGGGTGAAAGGCACGGTGAGGATACGGTTATATGGCTGACATCTGTGTTGCTTCCATGTGTCATAGCTTGTAATTTTTACTAAAACATAGGATATAAGTCCTCAAAAGAATTTTAAAATTGTCTTTTGTTCAACATAGACATGTACATATGCCAACCGGCCGCTTCATTGAGTACACCTCTGTTAAGTACACTCCAGGAGCACTGCGTCTGATCCACTTGTACCAGTGCAACACACATTAACGCGCCACCACCACCAGCTCAGTGACAGTGCAGTGCTGAGAATGACCCACCACACAGATGATACCTGTGGTGGTCCTGACCATTGAAGTACAGGGTAAAAGGGGGCTAACAATTTATGCAGAGAAACAGATGGACGACAATCTGTAATTGTAGAAGTACAAAGTGCAATTATATAGTAAATGGACCTGATAAAATGGACAAAAACTGTAGGCGCACTTAATGAAGTGGCCGTTCTGTGTATATATCAGCCCTTCACAGGTTTAATAAGTTTGGAGTAGTAGTCATGTCAGAGTAAGTGTTCCATTTATATTGATTTACCAGTTTTCTCAAGATTACTCTCTGCTCTCAGATCACAATTATTCTGTCTTTTAAAGATCGTCTCTCACCTTCTTAAAATCATCCACATATACTGCAAAACAAACAAATGCAAGTTTATTGTTGGTTGAGCAACGTCCACATCATTCTAACATCTCAGTAGGGAAAGAGATAGTTTCCTGCTCTTCTCTATTTGGGAGGCTGTTAGAAAATTATACAACCCCATTTCCAAAAAAGTTTGGACGCTGTGCAGAATGTAAATAAAAATAGAATGCAATGATATGCAAATCATGTAAACCCTATTTTTAAAGGAAAATACTATAAAGACAACATATCAAATGTTGAAACTGAGAAATTTTATCGGTTTTGAAAAATTAATGCCCTTTTTGAATTTGATGCCAGCAATACGTTCCAAAAAAGTTGGGACGGGGGCATGTTTACCACTGTGTTTCATCACCTCTTCTTTTAATAACACTCTGTAAGCGTTTGGGAACTGAGGAGTGCAGTTGCTGTAGTTTTAAATGTGAAATGTTTTCCTGTTCTTGTTTGATACAGGATTTCCGCTGCTCAACAGTTTGGGGCCTCATTTTCATTATAATAATGCGCCAAATGTTAACAGTGGTGACAGATCTGGACTGCAGGCAGGCCAATTTAGCACCCAAACTCTTTTACTGCAGAGCCATTCTGTTGTAATACATGCAGAATATGGTTTGGCATTGTCTTGCTGAAATAAACAAGACCTTCCCTGAAAAAAACATAACCTGGATGGCAGCATATGTTGCCAAAACATGTATATATTGTTCAGCATTAATGGTGCCTTCACAGATGTGCATGTCACCCATGCCATGTGTACTAATGCACCCCTATACCATCATGAATACTGGCTTTTGAACTGTGCACTGATAAGAAGCTGAGTGGTCTTTAGCCCAGAGGACACAGTGTCCATGATTTCCAAAAAGAATTTCAAATGTTGATTTGTCAGACCACAGGCCACTTTTCCACTCAGTCCATTTTATATGAGCTTGGGCCCAGAGAAGGTGGCAGCATTTCTGGATCCTGTTTATATTTGGTTTCTTCTTTGTGTTTTAGAGTTTTAACTTGCATTTGTGGATGCAGCGACTAACTGTTTTCACAGACATTTTCAGATGTGTTCCTGAGCCTATACAGTGATTTCCACTAGAGAATCATATCTGTTTTTAATGCAGTGTTGCCTGAGGGCCCAAAGATCATGGCCAGCAAATATTGATTTTTGGCCTTGCCCCTTGCCTACAGAGATTCAGATTTTTAATGTTATTATGTACCGTAGATGATGAAAAGCAAAAGTTCTTTGCTATTTTACGTTGAGAAACGTTATTCTTGAATTGTTGCACTATTTGCCTGCCCAGTCTTTCACAGAGTGGTGAACCCCTCCTCATCTTTACTTCTGAAAGACTCAGCCTCTCTGGGATGCTTTTTATACCCATTCATGTTACTGACCTGTTGCCAATAAACCACCAGGTGTTTTTTTTTGCATTACACCATTTTGCCAGCCTTTTGTTGCCCCGTCCCAACTTTTTTTGGAACGTGTTGTTGGCATCAAATTATAAATGGGCAAATAGTTTTCAAGAAACAATACAATTTATCAGTTTCAACATCTGATATGTTGTCTTTGTACTATTTTCAATTAAATATAGGGTTTAAATGATTTGCACTTCATTGAATTTTGTTTTCATTTACATTTTGCACAGCATCCCAACTTTTTTGGAAATGGGGTTGTATATTCAAGATGACTAAGGTGGTAGTCCTTGTCTTAAACAATTGCTCAGTAAAAACTAATGGACTCGCCTGCATCTTGATCAAAGCCATGTTAACTTTTTGAATTAATACTGTATTGTATTTTAAGAAGGATTTAGTGTTTTAGTCCAAATATGGAATGAGGGAACTAGCGCTTGCATTCAGATCCAAGTGAAGGCTATGCTATTGTTTACAAAAACTTTAAAAAAAGGAAAAAAAAAGAAAACCGCCTTTCTCTGTGGAAAGACAGTTTGAAAGAAGAATACTAACTATAGAAGACATATGTGCATGTAGGTCAGGACATGTTAAAACCTGGAATTTTGCATTACTCAAGTCTCAGTTTTGCAATTATAGCATTATTGTTACAGCCAACAATAATGTTGGACTAAGCCAACACGCTGTACAACTGGAAGAATGACTGTGTGAGGCACTGAGTAAGTCTAATTATGGTAAAAGTCACAAAGTATCCATATTACCCTTTCCTTTAAAGAAAATGATGAGAATCGGGTGAGTGTGAATCTTAAAGAATGTCTAAAGATCTTAGTGTTTTATTTTAATTAATATTTCAATTATAAAATTTAGGATCCTTCATTGATTCTACTGAACACTTTATAGATTACATCAATTTGATCTTAAACAGTCACAATGCAGAGAGGAATCTGGTAGATGTCTTCAGGTCTAATTTTGGGTTAGGGTTCATGATCCACCATAAATAATAGAAATTCAAAACCTTTGTTTCTTGGAAACGTTTGGATCGCTGCTATAATTCCACAGTTGAATTGGATTCACAGAGTGACGGAAAAACAAGTTATGCTTACAGGATGAAAGTTAATCGTTTCATTCGGGAATGGCTTGCTGGTATGGATATGGGAGGAAAGGGGCAAATTATATCAGAAATGGGGAAAATATCTGCATTCACTAAGTGGACTGAAAAATGTTCTGTCGTTGGATTGCATAGGATTTGTGAAGAAGCCATAACCTCGTCTCAACGATTTATCTCACCGTTTCCCGCCCTCACTTTTTTCCTTGTCTCATTTTCACATTTTTGTCGTAAATATGTTTGCTGTTTGTTTTGTGGAAGAAATGCAGTGAAGTACAATTCACAAAAAAGGAAAATGGTTAACCAGCCTCAGTTCAGAAGCAGCCGCATCCACTAACATCACGGGTGCCTGTGAGTAACGCGGACCTTGCGCAGATCCTGCGATCTACACATCATGTTGTCAAACACGGGTCTTAAACCATGAGGTGAAGATCGGCGCTCTTCGATGTGACGTTTAACTACGGCGCGCTGGTTGTTAACAGAGCCGGAAGTGCTCAGTCACGTTTAACAACAACTGCTAGGAGAGTTTGTTGTTGAGTTTTGTGCTTGTGAGATGAATTTATATGTCATGCTGAGTGTGTTAAATGTAATATTACCAATGGACCGTTTATTGGTCATTCGCTAGCGTTGTACTCAGTGCCTCTCCAACGCTATCTGGTGCTGCTAGCAGACTAGCTAACCACGGACTAATGGCAGAGAGAGTATAGTAACAACACGCCTCTCTGTATGTTTCAAAAATAGTCATACAAACAAATTCATATGTTCGTTTTGACAAGTAAGTGGACATTTAGTTGCATCTTGAAAGATTAAAATTGGAACTAGTTGATAGTTAATAAGCGAAGCAAAAGTTCATTAGCGCCTCTTGTGTTGGTGGTGTGGGTCATTAGAAGTGACGAGATTTTTTACTAGGCAGGGTTTTTTTGTGTCTTTCTCAAAGCTTAAAACGTTTGTTATGCTTCCTAAATACTTACAGATCTGAAGTCAAAATGTCAGTGGAGCTTGACGTGTTTGTGGGAAACACCACCATCATGGACAAGGAGGTATACCAGCTATGGCTGAATGGATATACAGGTAAGACACCTTGGAGAAGTAAGTACACACTTAAAAAGATGGTTCTTCAAGTGTTCTTTAGTAAAGGGAATAGTTCTATATAGATATATTTCATGCTTATATGGTTCTTTATATGGTGAAATGGTTCTTTAGATTGATTGAAAGTTATGTATTTTGGAAATGGTTCTATAGAGCACCAAAAAGTGTTCTGCTATTGTTATGTTGTCAAGCTTGCAACAAAATAGAAGAACCCTTTTTGGTGCTCTATAGAACCATTTTCACCATGCAAAGAACAGTTCAAACATGCAATGGTTATATGTAGAACTCATGCTTCTTTATAGAACCATTCCCCTTACTTACTAAAGAACCCTTGAAGAACCAACTTTTTAAGTGTGTAGGGGAAGAACCGCCCCCCTTAAGAACAATGCCCATTTACTGTATGGATAAACCTAATCTGTGCATGAGTTTGGGATGTAAAGGATGATGCATAAATCTACACACAGATGTAGAAATCATTTGAAACAGAAGGCAGTGTTGTTTTATAGCACAAAACAAGAAAATCTTACCCTAAGATAAGAAGCCCTGCTGGTGAATCTTATCATTTGATATTTTTAGAATGTGTAATTCAGACCAATGTTAGACCATTTCTAGTCTTTGCATTTTTAATGAAAACGTGCTGTAGTTGAACGTTAGAGGGTCTCCACCAGTTTATGTCTTACAAAAGACAATAGAATAGCTTGAAAGACTTGAAAGGTGAGTTTTGTTTACTAATTAAATGGTTGCAACAGCAACAATTAAAATCAATAATAATTTAAACAAAGCAATAGCATTCAGCATTCAGCTGGCAAATGAAAATGATTATGACAGAACAGAGATGTAGTTGTATTCAAAAGTTTTTTTACCCCTGGTAAAATTTTTGTTGATTGTCTAAATGAAAAAAGTACACATTCTCTACCGAGAACACATTTTAATGCACAGATACTGTTTATTTGCTGAATTTAAGATGTTGGAACAAAAACAAAAAAAAACAAGCTTAACAAAAAACAAAAAAGTGACCTGTGCAAAAGTTATTGCACAATTTATATTTTATGTTTTTATTCCCCCCAATATGTTAAAATCAGCAAATAAATATAAATTGTGCACATTATTTTGCAGAAAATACTATATTCAGAAATTGTGCACTAAATTGTTTGCTGGAAAATGCCAGGTTTAACTGTGATTTCTGTAGAGGATATGTTAAATTATTTTTACGTAAAAATATTAACGATACAAGTAATTTGACCAGGGTCTTTCAAACCTTTGCATACATCTTTAACACTGCCTAGCTGTAAAACTAACATGGAAAGGCATCTTTAGCTAGATAGCTTAAAAAGTGTCTAATTCTAGGTACAGATAGCTATAGCTAGTATGTATTGAAATGTATTGATCGCAGGAATTCCATCATCCAGATGAAAATTCAGAGTTTATTAAACTATATTCTTTCTATCAATATGTTGAGGTTAGATTTGGCACAATCATTTGATCAGGAGAGAAAATAAGGAAGGGGGTAACTTACCCCAGAACACTCATACTAGCATAACGTCCTTAGAACCAAAAAAGTATAAGCATTTGGAGTAATTTCAAGGATTGCAAATTGCCTAATATATCTGACAATTAATTATTCATGACTTTAACCATGAAGCTGAGGTGGTGATCAATAGATGTATGATTGTTTTCCTCCTTTAGTGAATGATGCCGTAAAAGTGCGGATCGAGGGAGGCGTGATGGAGGAGTGTGAGGCCAGTGCTGAAGTCCTTCTCAGTGACACTATGGACCAGTTCCGAACCTTCCAGATGTGTGAGAGGCTTCTGCAAAATCCAGCCAAACTAGCTAACCAGCTTCTCTTCCAGATTCCACCAGATCGACAAGCCATGCTGATTGAGAGGTACTGTGATTTGCCTTATCTCTCAAGTTGTTTATTTAATCATTTCAGCCATGATTTCCTGACAAATCACATCTTTACCTTCTCTCTGGCTTGTGACCAGATATTATGCTTTTGATGATGATGTTGTTCGTGAAGTCCTTGGAAAGAAACTCTCCAAAGGGACAAAAAAAGATCTGGATGATGTTAGTGCAAAGACTGGCATTACACTGAAGAGCTGCAGACGACAGGTGAGTACAACAGTAAAATGTCATTTAAGAACCTTTAATCAACTTGGACAGTTTTTGGTGATATTTGACCCATTCTTTCTCACATAGTTTGACAATTTCAAGCGAGTATTCAAAGTGGTGGAAGAGCTCAAGGGCCCCCTGGTGGAAAACATAAAGCAACACTTTCTGCTCCCTGACCAGCTAGCAAGGTGAGAGAGAAATATGTTAATGCATGTTGTTGCTCCAACTGCACTGCCTGGATCAGTTTTCCATGGAGAAATCCTAATAGCAATTATTGCAACGGTTATACAACCATATGAATATTTAAATGGTTCCTAAACCTTTGCATGGAAGGTTAAGTTATTTCAGTGCTGTACCAGGTCTGAAAACCAGAGGTATGTATTAACTAGCTACATTTACTCAGTAACAGGGACTCTACAGCGTTGTTTTTCCTGAGTATTTTCAAATGATAATACTTTTATTTCTACTCAAATATATTTGCGAGGAAAGGAATCTACTTTTTACTCAGTTACATTTTATCCATTATCATGTAGTTACACATTCCTTTTTGTGTGTTAAAATTTCATTATTTTACTTTGGTTACAACATCTGACTTTTGAGGTTTGAGTTTATTTTACACCAAGAGTGCATTAAAAAAGAAGAATAGAGCATAGCAAGTTCTTATGTTGATAGTTGATGGATATTCAAAGTAAACTGCAGTTTTGTAAGTTATTTTAGAAGTTTTTTTGATCTGGTACTTCCAGAAGTTGTTTTTCTTTTGGAAAAGTACTTTTGCTTGATTCATTATTTCATTGAAGTAACAATACTTTTACTTAAGCATGAGTTTAGAATCCTCTACTGAGCTGGAGGATGTAATTTCTAAGAAAATAATATAATTATAATACAGTAATAAAATTTTTTTGGATGAATTAATTTTTTTGTTGATCAATTCACAACTATGATAGGACATTTATGGAATGAACTTGGCCCTCAACAGAGCTGCTGATTGTGCCTTTTCTTCCCAGCTTTCCCTCATTTTGTCTTGAAAGTCCTGCCAATGCTTTTTTTTTTAAACAGGGATTATGCTGCCATTGTGTTCTTTGCCAACAATCGCTTCGAGACAGGGAAGAAGAAGCTTCAGTATCTCACCTTTCAGGACTTCGCCTTTTGTGCCGGGCAGCTGATCAACAATTGGACTGTTGGAGCTGTTGGTAAGAGATTGTTGTAAATTTTTTTATTTGAGTTATAATTCATTTGAAGATTTTGGTCTGCAGTTGGCTTCATTCTAGCATATCTTTATTTATTAGAACCAATCAGACTTCAAACCATTGCTCTAATGATTCTTTTTAAGCAAGCTGTAGAATTAACAGTTCTCGTGTATTTCTCTGCTTTTTCAACTTCTGCTGATTCCCTAAGATAACATGGTGGAAGACATGGACGTGGATCTAGACAAAGAGTTTCTTCAAGACCTCAAAGATCTCAAAATTTTAATTACAGACAAGGATCTTTTGGACCAGCACAAAAGGTATAAGATCACAACAGGGCGTGAGTTGGAGTGAGGGATTGTGGATGGAGAGGAATGGGGCATTAATCCAAAGAGGACTTATTGTAATAGTCAGAATATTATGTTGCGACACCCTCTAATGTTTGAGTAATGAAAACAATTTCCTATCATTCTCAGTCTAGTATGTGTCGCTCTGCGGGGAAAGACCAAAGTCTTCAATGAGATGGAAGCCAATTTTAAGGTGAGGATGCACATTTTTGTAATGTCACGTCAGCTGATTTGTATTTGGTGGCTGCAATTTAGCAAAAATATAACATGATACTTAAAGATATTTTTACAATATGCAATATGCATCACAATATTTAGTTTTTAGGTTTGATAAATTGGAACAGACAAAAAGAATCCAAGCAGTGCCACATTAAAAATACTGTAAAAAAACTATGAATACAGTAACTTGTTTAACAGTATACATACTGTGTTATAGTAAATGCATTTAAAGAGGATTAATTATTTTCTCTTTATATATAACACATACAGTAGGTCAGTGTTCTTTAAAAGGGAAGTCCACCAGTTTTTCAAGTGTTGCATATTTCATTCATTGAAATGTAAACAAAGTAATTGACAGTGGCTAAATGTGAAATGACTCATTGTAGAGAATCTTACTAACTCATGTATCTGTATAATGGTGGTGATAGCAACCAGGTGTCATGATGTGTACAACTCAGTTATTTAGCCATTTTATTTATTATCCAAAATGACCAGTGCAAAATTATATGTAATTTTGATAAATGATAAGAAATGGTGTAAAATAAAACAGGTGTTCTTTTCACACTATTTTGCCTTAGAACACCCTGCTTGCACCATGAACGGATTTTAAAATACATTTTAGGCCAAATCCTTAAAGCAAAACTTTCATAAAACAGTGTCTCATACATCAGGAAATAACATTGTGATGTAGCTTTAAGAAGCATGAGATACTTTGAACATCTGGTTCTTGTTATCACCACTGTGAAAAATTTAGGTAAGTTTTTCTGGAACAGTGCAGTTTTGCTTACATCCAAAGACTAAATTGTACAGAATTTTGAAAAAACGGTGGAATTCCTTAAGTACTGATGAGGTCCGCAATCTACTCATAAAAGCTTATTGTGATGTACTTCATTACAGTAATGATAAAAGACCACTTTGCCCACTGCTCTTTGTATTACGTTATATTTTATAATCTACATATTTATAAAAAAAATTAAGGGAAATATAATAGGATACACTCATAAGGGAATTCTTGTTATGGCCTCAAAGATGTAAAATGGACTTTGAGAATTTCATTTGAAATGCTTGAAAGAAAATGTCTGCCTTTGCAGAATCTCTCCCGAGGCCTTGTCAATATTGCTGCCAAATTAACAAACACAAAGGATGTCCGTGATTTCTTCATCGATCTTGTAGAAAAGGTATGTATAATTAAGTAGTGAAATCTCCAAATGTCTGTATCACTCATGATGTTGCCTTCAGACCTTACTTTTGTCCCCTTTACAGTTTATTGAGCCTTGCAAGTCAGACAAATGGACCGCTACAGATGTTAACCTCTACCTCACCCACTACACAAACTCAGCACACATATTGGATACTTTCAAGTAAGTGCATTGCAGCACATAAGAGAGAGACAGAGGTCTTCAAATCTAGATCTTGAATCCAGTTTCTGGTTCTGGCAGTTAGTTAACTAACCTGTTGCTGTGGTTGCCCACCTTGCTATCACACTAGATGGCCAATCAGTTATAGCAACAGGTCAGTTAGGTTAGCTATGCTTTAAATTTAGGACTGGAAGCTGGATTCAAGGTCCAGATCTTAAAGATCTCCGATATGTGCAGCTCTCTGGTCTGTGGAAATCTATTGTTCTACCAGTGGGGGTCACTGTATCTCATATACTGTGTGGTGAATGTAGTTGCCTTGTTTCCTGCCTAGTCATTTATACACTCAAACTGCTGTGGAATGCGGATTTCTGTTTACACAACTCAAATCACAACATGTTCTGATACACTAAGCAATGATGCATTCACCTCAAACCATCTATAACTTCTCATTAAAGGATACATGCGTGCTTATACAGCTTTAGTCAAAATGTTTTTCTGTTTATTCTAACATAGCTCCTCTATGACATTTGTGCCTATCTGTTTCTATTTCTCTTTCTCAGGCACCAGACTGTCTGGACTAGGTATATGGGAGTTATCAAAAGCTGCATCCTCAGAATGTATCACGAGTGAAGAATAGCATTTTTCCATTCTTTTTTTTGCTGTTCTTCTCCCTTAATCAAAACTGCTTTGGATTCAGCCCAGCCTGCTCACCTTTTGGCCCTATCTTTATTTAAATCCCCTGTTTATCATTTTCCTCCTTTAATCCTTACCCAAATATCTCCCGCCAACAGCTGGCCATCTCCAGGCCTCCCTCCCCCATTCTCCTTTATCCTCAGTTCATTCTTTCACCCCTTGGCTGCTGTCAATCCCAGGATGATTTGTAAATAAACTGAGCATGATCTCTACATTGTGTTCTCATTGACTTTGCAGTAAATTGTTCAGGCATTCACATGATGATCTGATGATGTATGTATTTTGCATTTTATTTTACAACAGGACAAATCAATTCACGCACACATGTACTGGACTATTTGCATGCTTTGTGTGCTCTGACTTGAAATGTTTGAGGATATTTAAAATAAATACTTATAAACCTACCAAGATATTTGCAAGTTAACGTGTCCTGGATTGTGGTATTTGAGCATATTATCAATAATGGATGAAATAAAGATGGCAGACTAGAGAAGGTTGTGGCTCAATGTGTGGGCCTAATACAAATTTACAGTCCACACCGGATGAAGATATTTATTCCTGGCTTCTCATTTGAACAGTTGAACCAATAAGTGTGGGTGTCAGAGTCCTGATGTGTGTGATGAGTCTGTGTGTGTGGCCACCTGGGAGGGTCCACTAGCAGTAGGGGGGGCACAATTTGTCACTACTTTATGGGAGGTACAGAGGGTCTGTGGGTGTTCTGACGATTACAGACTTGTTACAGACCTCCGACATGGCCTATTAAACGAATATGCTTTCTGAAATGGAGTTGAGAAATTCTGGAATGGAGCACCATTTAAAAGGTTTTGCATCTTGTTAAGGATTAAGTACCTCAAAACTATAATTACGCTTGTATATATTTCATAAACGTACACAAGCAATTTTATTGTTTTACATCTTGTGAGGCAAAAATGCACCAGAACAAAACCCTGCACTGTTACTGTGTCGCCACTCTGAAGGAGGAACTTGATTCAGTGAGAAAGCTGGGATCGAATGAATGCACTGTAGTGGAGTTAATGAAATAAAGGTGTAATCAGTGTCACTCTTTGCACCGCCTCACATCTAAACATTTCTGTCTTTATATCATCCAGTGAGGACCTCCAGTTTAAATATTTGGACAGGGGGGAAAAAAAGAGGACAACTTTTCCAAGCAGACGTGCATCTTTCCCTCCCTCTTTAACTCTTTCTCGCCTTCTCTCTCTCTATTTTTCTCATTCTCCTTCTTTCTCTCCCTCTTGTTCCTTCTCATGCTACTTTTTGTCCGCATTCCACCAGCTTCTCTCCCAAGATATAAATATCTGGCTGTGGACGGGAGTGAAAAAGATGGGTGAGATGAAGGGTGAATTGAGGTGGGAGGGAAACAAAAATGGAGAGAAAGTTGTGAGTTGTTTAAATGAAACCAGGTGCGTTGCAGCTTTGTGTGTGTGTATGTGTAAGAGTGTATGGACGGGGTCTTCTGGTGGTGGTGTGTGAGGAAGGGGTGGGGGGCTGGTCGAATGTGTGTGTGTGACTGTGTGAATCTGTGCACTGTTGTTCTGCCGGCAAACCGGACAGATTTGGAATTTTGGAATTTGGGCCGCAGACCAGGAATTTTCATCCTGGGGGGTGAGGAGAGGGGGTGGGGGGTGTTCGGAGGGGTGTCTAGGGGCGGAGGACAGCAGCGCAGGGGGCCTAGAGGGGGGGTCGGAATGGGCTGTCCCTCTCTTCCGTCTCGCCCTCCTCTGAATACATTCATACTCCAGCTGTCCGTCTCCACACTCCACTCACTCAGGACGAGGAGGCAGAACAAGGAAGAAGAAGAAAAAGGGGCCACTTAACTGAGAGACAGAGAGAAAAAAAGAGGGAGAAGCTTCCACCGGAAGAGAAGAGGAGTGCAGAGGAAGAGAGAGAGAGAAAGAGACAGACAGACACTCCAGAGGAATCCAAGGCCATAACAGGAAGAAAAAGTACCCAAGGAGTGACCAGTGAGTATAGCATTCTTTGGATTTCACATTCATTTGAAAAGAGAGGAAGATAAAACAGTGCTGGATATAATGTTCTGACTCATTTGAATCTATGTAGACTGTTAGAATGAGGTGACCATCAGGCAAGAGCAACAGAATGAAGTGAAGGCTGTAAGGAGAAGGCAGAGAGATGTGGAGAGAGTGAGAGAGAGAGACAGACTGAGGGCAGTTCTACTCAGGCTCTTTGAAGAGTTCTGTACGTCACGCTTGCTCTGTTGCACCCCTCCAAACGTGCACAGCCTCAGCGCCCTGGTGCTACTTCAGTCCAGCCACAAAGCGCTCGAATGACCCAGAATACCCTTACTGTGCAACCTTCACGCAATACCATCTCTTACAGTCAATCCCCCCCTGAGAGGGCCCAGACAGGCGTGAGTTTATTCCTTCAGTGACGGTTACTCAACCATCAGGATGCTGTTACACATCATGCTTCATTTACACTATACTGTTGCAAAACTTTCCAACCTCGCTTCCAGCTACTATTTCACAACTAGTCTAAATGTCATTCACTTCTTCTTCGACCCCCACTACAGCAACTTCGGGCAACCTTTAGAAAACCTTCATTTTTTTAATGCTGGCTTCCAATGATTTCTGACTGTCTTTTGTTTTAGCATGGGACTGTTTTCGACATATTAATCCTTTTTTTTAAACATTTTAGCACATGAAAGCTACTTTTTGGTGATTAGTGTTGCTAGAAAGAAAAAGAAACCTTTTGGCCTGCTGAGGAAACACAGGTGCCATAACAGGGAGAGAAAGCACACACAATTAAATGCCCAGCATGACATCACAGCTGAGAACAGTGGCCTACTATACGAACACAGGCCACGTCTATACTGACTGAAGTTTCATCACTTTTGTTTGTATATTTTTGTAATTACTGACATTTGGCTGCATTATTTTATATGGCTTGGTGCTGAGTTGAGCATTCATTTAATGGCAAAGAAGCATGCCAGCTCGTCACGTCTGCAGGCTCAGCGGCGCTAGAAGATCTAGCTATGTTATTCATACCTAATGTAATAAACGTGCAATAGTTAATCTCTCCAAATCTTGGAGACTGTATGTGGATCCACACTTCAATTACTTTAATAACATATTAGTTTCATAGTAGTCACTGAATAATATGCATAGAGTTAGAAGGCTTAAAGGGGAATTCCAGTGATTTTGCAAAATTTCAGCGTATTTCAACAGTTGAGATGTAAACAGTCGTTCATAGTGGGGGCTTAATCATTTAATTATGCAAAAATGTTAAAAAATCTGCAAAATTACTCTTTAAACACTTGAATTTTTTTTATCTGTACAGTGTTGAAGAAATATCCTCATGTGCAAGCATATGTTTATGTGAAAAGGCAAGGTCAACTGCACCCATGTTGCTGAGTGCTGGATCTCAGTGTGGTAAAACATAAACAGACCACTTTAGTTTACACTGGTCAGCGGTCAGTGGTGCTGCGATGGCAGGCACATCTTTGAGGGGCTGTGTAGTCCAGCTTGTCCAGAGCAGAGATGTTTTGACCACCATGACAGAATGTCAGCTTCATGCCTAGCTGAGCAGAACTGAACAGAGCATGGGCACATCACTCGTTAGTGTGTATGTGCTTGTGAGTGAGAGGTGGGAAGCATTTGTGTCTTTATGTGTGTGGTCCATCCACAGTGTTACCATGAGGGCAGGACTTTATGACCTGTCTGATTGGTGGCAGTATACTCATCAAGTGGAGAGCAGATGATGAGAGTTCGACAAAAAAGTGGCTGCACTGTCATGATGCTGACTGCACATCAAATGAGTACATTGCAATTTCACTGTCATCTGCCATATTGCACCAAATACACTACTTTAGAGTTTTATAACTAATAGATAATAGTACAAAACAAAATTTTATGATGAAATAAGAGCCACTGACATTGAGAACACACACTGCTGTTGAAAACTTTGTTTCAGTTATTTTGTTATAAGATCTAAAACTTTAGATGTGTCCAGTGTGTGATTCCCTATAACTAAAAAAATAAAATAAAAGCTGTATAACATCAAGAATGATATTATAATAAAAGTAATATCCAGAATGTTGCAAACCAAATTTTTGAAACCAGTATTTAAAACCAGGTGAGCAAATCTCAAGGCAGATAACTTGACAATACATTATTTATCATACTCTTCAAACAACTTTCCCAAAAACTTTTCAATTGTTTAATAAAAGTCCAAACGTTATTTAAAGGAGCACTCTGTCCAAATTGAAAAACATAACCACTGTTACATCCATTGTAAACTTGCGAATTAGATTTTCTGGTTTACCCCTAATGATGTATCTTGAAGGTGGAAGGAACTTTTGAAAAACTGCAGCTGCTTTGCGGTGGATACATGAAGGCAGTCTGTTTGAAATATGTTTTTTTGTGTTTGTTTCCCACTAGCTGGCTAATGCAGATAGCTAACTGTACTGTTAGGAAGCTGAATATCTTGTCTATATTTGTGTATGTCTATACTTATTAGCCTCAACATCACTTGAATGTTGAATAAAATATTAACGATTATTAATATTACAGCTGATTCCAAACCTTTGAATTGGTGGTGTATAAAGACAGAAGGCCTTGGTCAGGGCCACTCCAGGTGGACTCAGTTGCCCTGTCTGGTAAATTATGAGGGGGTTTCCTGGGAATGTTATACTCTGGGAAACAGCTATAGTCCAGATGACCTGTCCATAGAGCGGCGCCCACATCCTCGCCACTGGCATTCCAGAAAGCCAGCCGCCACTTGGAGCACCATGGCTGCCTAAATTAGCCTCGCCTCCACACTGCCCATACCCTGGCCTAGTGTCCGGCACGGACCTGCCCTGGCCTTGGGTTTGCTATGGTGGTTGATTTCGGGCTTTCCCGAGTCATGTGTCTGCCACAGTGGCAGTCTGGCCTGGGAAGCTATGAGAGTGAATAAGGGAGACAGTAAACACTCCGTGCAGATTCCTGTGAATAAGGCCACAGTGGGGACACTTGGCAACTGGCATGTGGGAACAGCAGTCTAGTCATCAGAGTCACAGACTTTCATTTGAGCTCTGAGAAAAGTAGGCTGCGTGATATGGGCAACAAAGTGGTATTGCGATTACATTGCTACATACTGTGATTTGGTTATAGTTTAAATGTATTACACATGCAGTGGTCAACTAATAATGTGAAATGGTTGTAAATTAGGCTGCTTGACAAAAAATTATTTAGTTTTGTCGAATTAGATGAAGACCTTGATTCATAGAAACAGTCACAGAAACACTCATCTGGAACTGTGATTGTTCACAGCACCCAGTAAAAACACTGGCTTTTCTCTTTATCGAAGGCATGTATGGTCAAATCTGATCACATCTGATCTGAGGGCAGACTGGGACATGTCCTTAACAAACGATCTACAAATAAGATTCTAGCATTTTGACCACTGAGCACTTGACCACTGTATTTTGACCTTGCTCCCTCTGGCATGGAGACCTTTTATAAAGTCGCAGAATACTCAACTAGGGCTGCACAATGTAAATCCAAAAATGCCTTTTACTGTCTAGTTTACGATATTTAATGAGAATATAATAAAAATAATAAAGAATTTAACCACTGCTACATCTGTTGCAAACATACTATTCACCTCCTACTGCAGTGCCACTACACTGTTAGAAATAAAGGTGCGTTTCTCGTTCTTCAAGGTACGAACAATGTAAATGTACCCTCAAAGGTACAACAGTGGTTTTAAGGTCCAGTTCTGTACCTTAAATAAGTTTTTCCCAGGTGAAAAGTACATATTTGTGACTTTTCATAACCTAATGTTTAAAACAGAACAATACATTAAAAAGCCTGGAGATGAGACGGGTATGTGGAGTCAGTACATCTTAGAAAATATAATTTCAGTGGATTATGGTACAATTATGTTCCCTGACTAAAGGTACTGAGACATACCGTTGAGGGTACCACCCCAGTGACAGTTTTGTATCTTTTTTTCAAAAGTGGTGAGTCAGATTTTCTGGTTTAAAGACAAGGAAAACCTTCTTCTGATAATGTATCTAGTGTCCACGTAATGAAATTAATTAATTAATTAATTAATATCACCCTTCACTAGAACTAAGTGGCCTAGTCCAAACGCTGAAAATTAGCCCCAGGCCAATATCCCTCCTCAACCAAACTTTACTGTGGGCACCATGCATTCCAGTTGGTAGCGTTCTCCTGGCATCTGCAAAGCCCAGATTTGTCCATCAGACAGCCAGATAGTGAAGTGTGATTCAACACTCCAGTGTACGTTTCCACTGCTCCAGAGTCCAGTGGTTGCGTGCTTTACACCACTGGCATTGTGCATTGAGATCTTAGGCTTATGCTGCTCAGCCACGGAAACCCACTTTATGAAGCTCCAGATGCACAGTTCTTGTGCTGATGTTTCTTCCAGAGGCAGTTTGGAATTCTTCAGTAAGTGACGCAACAGAGAATAGCAGATTTTTATGTGTTATGTGCTTCAGCACTCGGCAGCCCCCTCTGTGAGTTTGCGTGGTCTACCACTTTTGATTCAGCTGCTGTTGCTCCTAGTTGCTTTCATTTGACAAGGCAGAAATTTCACAAACCAACAAGGCAAAGGTGCCATCCTATGAAAGTGTCACCTTAAAATCACTGAGCTCCTCAGTACAACCCATTCTACTGCCAGTATTTGTCTATGGAGACTGCATAGCTATGTGCTTGATTTTATACACCTGCAAGTCAGAGGGAGCAATGTCAAATGGTCAGTGGCTCAATGATACTGTATGCATTTTTCTATCTTTAAGAATGTGTTTGTCTGTAATTCTGGATGACTTTAGACGTTACTTACATTGCAGGCCCTCAGAAGAGCTTTTAAGGTCACAAACAGAATGCAAGTCAGTCAGTGGAACACAGCAATTAAGTCAAAAACTTTCATTCATTGTGCATTCATCCTTTTAATGATATTTGTCCAGTCATCAGAGGCTTTCATTTGAGTTCTGAAAAAGTAGAGACTCTTTTGTGACTGTGCAGAGGTTTCTATGTCAGAGTCATCCAGCTTGATGGCCAAAATACTGTAATTCTGTCAGAGGAACAGAGCAATAAAGTCAAAAGGCTTATTTCTCAGTGCATTCATCCTTTTAATGATATTGGAGTATGTTTGTATTTGAGGCTGCCTTGCATTTCCCCATGTGTACCATAAGCCATGATGAACATCCCCTTGTGGTTTGGGCCAAAAAGCACAATAATTACATTTGGACACTGATGTAACAGAAGCAGAATGTGTGTGTGGATATGCACGTCGCCCTGCGGCTTGCTGTTTGTCACTTTGAGTCAACATGACAATACAAGTGGACGCGCAGAACTCTCCACACTACCTCTGAGGTTTGGCCTGGAGGCTCACAGAGCAAATGTCTGCGCATATGTGTATTTTTGGAGTTGAGATAACTCCTGCTTTCTGTATGACGTGCACATAGTGTTAGACTTTGTGTACGTGTGTGTTTTCAGGGAGGACAGTGGTTACAATCTTTCTCCATGGCTATTTTCTACACAGTGCAAACCGGCTAGCAGCTTTGCGCTATGCAGCCCAGAGTCAGAAATGTTTTATAAGTGTTGCGTTTGGCTGGTTTTCTATTTATTCTTTAGCTGAGAGACCTGAAAGACAGGACTTATTCAAGCTAATGGCACTACTTACAAATCTCAGTTCTCTCTCACCAAGAACATTAAATGAAGCACTGCCTAAAAGAGGCCTTTCACGCAGGCCTTCCTGCTGTTTCTCTAACCTTTTCCATGTAGAATAATGACAGATGGAACAAAAAGCATGTAGACCTACAGTCTAGGCAGGTTTTAGTGAGTATGGTTTCTGTAAAATGTAATCCACTATGATGTTATCCAATTGTCACTAAAGAGTAAGGCTAATTTTTTGCAGTTCCAATTCTGCCACCAGGGGGAGTCAGGTTACCATATACATACAGTGGCCTTGTGTTACAGCTCCAATCAAAATGTTAATTCTCAGCTGAAACCTATGTAAACTGATCCTTTTCAACAAACCGAGTGTCTATGCATCAGTAAAACAGTCCAAAACTTACAAACCTGGAGATCAAGCAGGTATGAAAAAGAGTATGAAAAACACACATAAAACAGTGCACTAAAGCTGAGTGTATGCTGAGTAAAAGGGCCCATTTTTGGAAAAACTGGAGTTGTAGTAGTAGTATGTAGTATGTAAACATTCTTTCAATACTGTTGGCTCCCCTGTCTATACAGTCCATATATGGAAACTAAGCTGCAAAAACAGTCTGTTTTGAATGTATTGTTTGCATGATGTCACAACTGACCAATACATTTAAATATTCAATGTAGAACATTTCAGCCCCACCTATTCTCATTGAAGTTATAAGGAGTGTTTCAGCCCAGCCTGCTTTCTGAATAAGGCACAATACAGGGAAGCCAATAAGAACACAGTTCATTAACATATATGATGTCACGCAAACCATTACATTTGCATTTGCCTGTTTAATTCTAAGGGATAAAGAGAGGTTGGGAATGTCGAAATGGCTGTTAAAAAAGGTAAAAAAAACAGATTATTGGCCCTTTAACACAGAACATTCTGATACTGACAATCTGCTCTAACTTTGGGTGATAAGAAGCTTACATCTGGTAAAGAATTCAAACCTGTCACTAAGGTTCTCCTATCTTTCTCTTTTTCTCTCTCTTGCAGGGCCCAAAGTGTGATTTTAGACCCTTGTTAAAGCCAGCAGCTGCTTTCAGTCCTACCTGAGGCCCTGCAGCGTGTGTCAGCGCGTGCGTGCGTGTGTGTGTGTACGTGAACGCTTGTTTTTTTGTGTGTGTGTAACCAACACCCTCCCGGTGTGAGTTTTCTCTGAGCTCCAAAAGAGCCAGGTGAAAGTGTCTGTGTGCGAGGATGCGCTCCATGTGTGTTTTGTTTTTTTGTGTGTGTGTTTCGATGTTCCTCCACCGTGCTATTTCACAGCCGCCCACAGAAAGTGACACCTACACGGTAAGGAGGGAGGAAGCAGTTTCCCACTCTCTGTCTGTCTGTCTGTCTGTCTCTCTCATCCGTATGTCTACAATCATACAGTAAGAAAGCATTTGTATTCATACACCGTATCTCTGGCTAAACATTCTTCTGCAGGAGTGCACAGATGGCTATCACTGGGATCCACAGACTCAACACTGCAAAGGTAAACCATGTCCATCCTTCCTCGTCACAGAGCATACAAAACATTCATGTCCTTACATTTTTGAAGTTCTCAACGAGCACCTTAAAGGGCTTATATCCTACATTTGTCATGTATGTTATTTTTCCCTTTTAGTCCACTTACAAGCTACAATTGTGTGTTTTTGTACCAAAAACTGTCATAATTCAGTTCATGAGCACTTCTCTGTTCTGCACTGTTTCAGTTGTGCCTTACTGAGAAAGTGCAGGTAACAGTGCTGTTAAACTTAGACTGAAAACATCAGGGACGTTGGTAACTTCATTAAGTACTGAATCCTTTGGAAGGCTGCAATGATATAATAGCTTCCTGACAGCCATGAATGGCACAACAATTAAAGGGCCCATATCATGGAAAACTGTGTATGTAAACACTGTTAAATATTTCAAAAGATACTGTATACTCCCCAGTCCATCCAGTATATATCATAACTGCTGCAAAAACAGCCAGTTTTGAATTCACTGTGATGTCACACAAAGCGTCACATTTACATATATCCACATTTTCGGCTTATGGCAGTTTAGCTCCATCCATTCACATGGGAGTTATAAAAAGTGTTTCAACCTGGAATGTTTTTCGAATGTGGCACAACATAGGAAGACAGCTCAATGACATACACCAGTCTTAAAGGCACAGTAACAAAAACAGCCTGTTAATTCTAAGACTTAAATAAAAAGTTGGAAAATGGTCATGTAAAAATGAACTGTCATACACAAAACTTCACAAATCTTATAAGTGAATCCCAGAGAAAAAATAAAAGAATAATGCATGATATGAGCCCTAATTGTACCTCCCCTTGCAACATCACAGTCATGATGAGTTCAGTTTTTTTTGCAGATTAGTTACCAAACATGAACTGTATGTGTTATATATGGACTATGGAGCAGATGGTACATTTTGAAACTATAACAATGTTTATTTAGTACATCAAACAACATAAACAAAACTTGTTTTTCCAATATATGAGCCCAAAAAACAGCATGCATTCCAAATGAAGCCCTAATAATCTGACTACATTTCCTTCTCCTCCTCAGACATAAATGAATGTGAAACCATCCCAGAGGCGTGTAAGGGTGAGATGAAGTGCTTCAACCATTACGGTGGTTACCTGTGCCTGCCTCGCTCGGCCTCAGTCATCCCAGCCCATGACCCACCCAACCAAATCCCCCCTGGCCTGGACAATCCGCCCAGCGAGCCTTACAATCCCTGTCCTGCCGGCTATGAGCCGCAGGGGGACAGCTGCGTGGGTGAGTGCGTGGGTGTGGGAGTGTGTGTGTTTGAGGGGGTTACTGTGATTGTGGGTGTTAGTGAACAGGTGGCAGGTGGCTGTAAGTGACTGAGTGAGTGAGTGAGTGAGTGTGTGTGTGTGTGTGTGTGTGTGTGTGTGTGTGTGTGTGGTGCTGGCTGTTATGAAAACGTCGTGTTGAGGAACTGCTGAGTAAAGGCACTGTGGGGGCGTTCGCATCCATAGCTGGATTTAAGAAAAGACCCAGAAATTTTAACCCAGGCTTTTGGGTTATGTGCGTGAGAGAGTGTTTATTGAGGGGTTTATGGGCGCCTGGATGATTCAGATACAAACAGGTGGTATGTAGGGCAGGGGCCGTCTAGTTTTCGGGCACGATCGTGGGAGTGTTGCTGGGGGTTGGCAGGGGGCTGGTCTGCAGGAGGTCGAGGGGATTTAAAGGCTAACATCTCCCAGCTGCTATCAGCAGTCAAGAGCTCATTAACACACACCACAGTTGCACTACTGGGAAGCTCACTCAGCTAGTTGTCTATGTATTCCGATTCTTTAAGCCATTTGCCATGTAACAGTAAGTGGCCTCATGTTGTAATAACAAAATACCAGCACAGCAACACAACATATAGTGTTCAACAATGTGTCTCTTCTGGGGTATAAATCTCTGACCTGACAAATTGATTATGATTCACTGCATCATAAACTCAAATTTCAACACAATTTGATTTTACTCTTTTGGTACAATTCAACAATATCTTTGAAAATACACTCAATACACAAGTTGATTAATTCTAATGAAATGTAGACAATAAAAATAATTATTTTTACATTTAAAAATAGAATGATCATTTTGTTTTGTCTAAATAATGTGTGAGTGCATACATTATTGACTATTATTTTAACTGGCTGTGATGCATTACAACACTCTAGATCAATGCATTTGGCCAGTTGCAAAATAATGACTGACATGCCTCTCAGCCAATCACAGCCATCTCTAAGCCTTACTTCCTCCGTCAAGAGTAGGAAAAACTCTCACAAACTCATTGCAAAAAACCTGCAGTGGGCATTAGCTGGTTAATCACGTTAGATTTTCTTAACTCTGCTGCTGACAGTTAGCTCAATAAATTAGCCACATAAAACAGAACTGTAGAGTGTTTACATTTGAGAAAAATTTATTCTGTGTAAAAAAAACCTAAATGTACTTGTACATCATCGTTTGCATTGTTTCATTAAAGTTGGATAAAATACCTTGTGTACAAGACGACAAATCCTCCTCAGTATTTAACACTGCTCTGACTAGCTCCAATGTTAGCTTTAGCATTAGCTCATCTAAAAGATTTTAAAGAGCTTTCTTAGCTCAAAAATTTTCTTCATTAGAAATGAAGATGTGCTGTTTAAATGTCCCGTTGCTAAACGTTTTTCCTGGTCAGATTAATGTAAACATGTTTTTTTCTTAAGATGTTTTCATATTGGCAATTCTCAAACACATCTGCACTGAGCAAGCCTGCTGATTTTTGAATAATTAAATGTCCTCAGGTACACTCCTATCTGTGTTACTGTTTTAAAGTTTTCTTTGTGCGACTGAGCTTTTAAGTCCAGTGCTATGGGTGCTAGCAGGTAGCCTGGGCAGAAAGTTTGCTGGACATAGCAACTGTAACTGAGCAAAGTGTGACATTTCAGAATTTTGCAAACTATAATTTGAATTGCCATCTTCAGATTGATGTCTCACGACGCACTGATGCATATACCCCTATTTTTCACATACTATAACCTGAAAAGTGGTCTGTTTTCTTGATGTCTTGCTAACTCTTACACACATACAGATGTGGATGAATGTGAACGTGATGAGCACGACTGCCAACCCAGCCAGGATTGCATCAACACAGAGGGCTCTTTCACCTGCCAGTGCCCGGGTGGATACCGCAAAGTGGGAACAGAATGCATTGGTGAAACAACTTATTCTCTTAGCTTTAATACTGAAAGTCATACAATAGAACAAACTTCCATACACAGTCCTATTTTAGTTTGAGTATATATGATGAATGTTGATGAATGGATGAATGTTCATAGAATGTGAGTAGATCACATCCTTAATGAGCATTATTTTTCACCATTGGTTCCCAAGCCTGGTGCTGGAGTACCCATGCACATTTGAGTATATTTCCTGCATGACAACGTAAACTCAGGAATGTTAGATTAAGTGTGTTAGAGCAAGGAAAACAGGGCTGGGATACTCCAGGACCAGGTGATGGGAACCACTGTATTTAACCAATGGCTCAGAAGGGCATCAGTGACTTTAGATCAGGGGTCTTCAGCTCTGGTTCTGGAGGACCGGTGTTGAGCCCAGTTTGCTGATTTTATTGCTCAAACACACCTGATTCAACTCATTTGTTGAATTGGTGTGTTTAATTGGTTTTGTTAGGCCACAGTTAGGCCACAGTATAGAGCCATTTAACATTTTGTTTTTTCATCAGTTTGGAAAATCTATCAGTGATCACAAACCCTGGTCCTGGAGATCAATCTTGCTGCAGAGTTTAGTTCCAACCTGCATCTAACATGATGCCTCCCACCCCCCTTATCTAACACCAATACATCTGATCCAGCACTTCTTAAGGACTTCTGAAGAAATTCATTAGCTGAAGCAGATGTGGCAGATTGTGCTTGGAACTAGACTTTGCAGGAAGGTAGTTCCTCGTTTCAGTACTTTTTTTTTTTTAGCATGCCCTTTAAAAAAGTTTTTGACTCACCACTCGGAAGTATGTCATACCCACGTTACACAAGTGGCCACTCCAAGCAGAAAAGGAGGAGAGAGGAATGGATTTTTTGATTCTGAATGCTAGTTTAGGCCTATTGTGATAATAAGCTAGATGTGCAAACTTTGCAATGCAAAACTTTTTTTTTTTGTTTTTGAGAAGCTGAATAATGGCTCTGGCTGAAAGCTTTAGTTTACAAACATGCTGTATAAAGCCTTTAGCTTTCTAAATAGCAAGCTACCAGAGTAAAGTGTTGAAATTATAACAGCAGCCATGTATAACAGAAGAAGTAGTTTGCAACCTAAAGCCCAGCAAATAAAATGTCACAGTTTTGAAATATTAAGCATTTTTATAGTATTTTACTGCTATTACTTATAAACAGCTTCTCCCGAAGTCGACAGTGGTGTTGCCCTTTTGCCCCTTTGATTATAAATAATAAACTTCACTTGATGTAGTAAACTTAAGGGAACAGCCCTTAAGATGGCGTTGGGATTCCTCTGAGGGGAAGTGCTGAGGCCAAGTGAATGAGGGCTTGTCAAAACTAGTGTTGAAATGACTGATAGATCTCTCGGACAAGAGTTGGTAACCACTGATCTATGTCATTAGCACATAAGCTTTCCAGTCCTGCTGTAGGATTACCTCTTGCTCTGCATATTTTAAAGTTTTCTCTGCTCTAACACACATGATTATAAGTCCAACTAATTATATAATTACAAGTCCTTTTTGAGTTGATGTGGGTGAGTTATATTAAGAAAACACTGAAATGCTCAGGACCAGGTCTGGGAGACTCTGTCCTTAAACTTAGTCTCACATATTGACCAAACTGAAAGAGGCAAATGAAGAAAAATGATTCAGCAGTGATCCTGTCCATGCTGATGAAGGATAAAGGAATGCACTGTACTCATCCTTCATGTGAACTCCTTGCTTTGCTTTCTGTTGTCAGACATTGATGAGTGTCGGTACCGGTACTGCCAGCACCGCTGCGTTAATGTTCCGGGCTCTTTCTCCTGCCAGTGCGAGCCTGGCTTCCAGCTGGCTGGCAACAATCGCTCTTGCATTGGTGAGTGTGCCCACGCGCAGCCACCCCCGCACATAGCCAATAACGCCGTACCCTGAGTCATAGGCCGGTACCCCCCCACCCTTCCCCACCCAACTCTCCACACACTCATGCTGTGCACATACAATCATTCGGAAAGCCAAACCCACACACTGTTGCACAATGTCATCCTACACCTCAGCTTCTCTGAATGAGGGCCAAAGTCAAAACAAACTGCTGCAACACCTCCAATTAGGTGAATAAGGGACACTGCAGAGGCTTAAGGGAGTAGTTACTGTGGTATTCTGAAATACGGGGGTGAGATCTTCTCCACTACTGGTTTATCTGCATTATTAAAGCATTTGGAGAAGACACAATGAGTGGAAAACTATGTTGAGCTATTCCTGTGCTCAGTACCATGATTACACTTACGCTGGGCCGTATGAAGAGCATGTGACCACCGAGGTACTGTGTATTACTTAGTCAATGATGTCTTAAGAATAAACAGGGTTCTGTATTAGCATTTACTGAATGCACTGACTGCATTATTCTCAAGAAAATGTGCTTTTTCCTCCATGTCTGTAATCTGTGTTGATGTGTCATACTCTTTGGATTCAGATGTGGATGAGTGTAACATGGGCGCCCCCTGCAGTCAGAGGTGTTATAACACTTACGGCACTTTTCTCTGCCGCTGTGAGCAAGGTTATGAGCTGGGGCCTGATGGATTTGCCTGCAAAGGTAAGTAGTTGACACTAGAGGTGTCATAATATCATTTGTTCCTTTCCCATATTGATCCAATATTTTTTACATCTTTAGAAACTAAACTTTACCAATTTTAATTGAAACACTTAAGCAAATAAAAATAGGCTATCATGCTCAAACTACTAAAACACACCACTACCCCACAGTAAGAAATAAACAGCATAAACATCACATCACATCACATCACACAATGTGCTATTTCAGGCCTGATTTGCTACAGGATTGGATTCATGCTTTCATGCTTTTTCCCCTTCGTTATCCGATCCAGCATTTTTTATACTTATTTCAGCCCAATACAGATACCCAGTATTGGATTGTACCATCTCTAATTAAAAGAAGAACATTTTCTTTTGGGTAAGATGAAAAATCTTACCAATTAGTTGCTGTTTACTCTTTAGCCCAGATTTCACGTTATTTTTAGAGTACGAATCTGATTTTTCTTATAAATGTGATAAAGATCTGATTATTTACTGAGCTGCGTGAACACAGAAATGAGATCTTTTCAAATCAGATTTGAACCACTTTTATATGTTGGTTGGATTGGACACGTATCTGATATTCTTGTGTTTTTTCTTCTTTACTGCATGTGCACATATCACAGCAGTGGCTAAATTGCCGATTGGGCAGGGGTGTGTTTACACTAATGTCCAATATGAGTCACAAACCATTTAGGTAGAAAGAATGGATCTGGGCAAAAAACCGAATGGTGCAGTAAGGCTTAGAATGTGAACGGAGCCTTACTCAGTCTCTTTCTCTTTCTCTCTCTCTGCCTGTAGACATAGATGAATGCAGTTACTCCAGTTATCTTTGCCAGTATCAATGTGTCAACGAGCCTGGCAAGTTCTCCTGCATCTGTCCAGAGGGCTACCAGCTACTTGGGACTCGCCTCTGCCAAGGTCAGCCTCTACCTCTCCTCTTCTCCCTTTCGTTCCTTTCTTCTTTTGAAGGAATACTTTGGAATTCTATTTTCTGCAAAATTTCCATTTAAGCCAAATATAGCCGATCAGCTTAGACATGTTTGGTATCTGAAGTTTACTTCTTTAGTTTTGCTAAATCTACAAGCGTAATGTATCTAAAAAGACAAGGAAGCTTATACAAAGTCTTATAGAAAAGTACATTTTAGCATTGTTAAAACAGCAGTAGCAGCAGTCCAATTTTTGCTCATACTTTTGTCCATTTTATTTTATAGTTATACAAGGTCAGAAACATGTAACATTGCTGTTCAAAAAAAAAAAAAAGGTTTTCATTTTTTTTTATTTTGATTTTTCTACATAATTTGAGCACAGCAGCTTCCCTTTACATTGTTTGAAACTTGCATGATGAATGGTCCAATATAAATGCTCCTAAATTACTTTACATTAACTTACATTAAAATCAAAGAATGTTTGAACATTTTGGAGATGCAGCGATAAGCAAGTAGGATTGCACTGATAAGAGAATTGCTGATATGCTGTAATTCTGATGGACATATCTGCTGATGCTGATGCTGATACATCAGCATTTATAGAATGTATAAATCTGGTACTAGATCCACCTGGATTAGCATTACAGAGAAATATAAGATCTATTTCTGTACAATACAAAGTCATTAGGGTTACAAATTGTGAGCTACATTGGCATCGTAACTCTAGTGCAAACCTTAAGAAGCAAACTTCAGACAACAATCATGTCTTGACTGATGGATTACATTTAAGAGAAGAGGAAATTGTGCAAATTGATTTTTTTTGCCAAATTGCTTTAAAAGGACACTGCTGAAATACAGTTACTCAACTGTATCTTGTCATTTGGCTCCATTGCTGTTCCCTGAATGCAGATATAAATGAGTGTGAGACAGGCACACACAAGTGCGCTGATGGCCAGACCTGTGTGAACATTCACGGCGGACATCAGTGTGTCGACACGAACCGCTGTCAGGAGCCCTACGTTCAAGTGTCGGACAAGTGAGCAAGCAAACGTACACATGCACACGCACGTACTCACTCTCTCTGGGGCCTCTTCTGTAAATCTATGTGTGTCAGATGCATCTGTTCGAGGCATACCTTAGATGATTTCCGAAATTGCGCTGTTTGTTTTTCCATATCTCTGGCCTGTTTCCTCAACCCCTGCCTTTGAGCACACTTCAATATAATCAGCATATTTCCACAAAGTCTGAAATTGATAACAGGTGGCCCAGGCAGATTTACGTTTTGAAGAAATGTCTGGAGGTAAATGGAGGGCATCCAACATTTTAAGTTAATTTGTCTGGCATGCGGTGCACATTCAATTGTAATTTGGTACGTTCGTGGCTTAAATCATCATTAGTCATGGAACATCTTGAAGCGGTAGATGAGAAGAACAGTATGAGTGTGAATTAGTTTGCTTCTGACAAATGAAGACATAAGCAAGGCCTTGTTGTAATCATCACAGGATTCCATGAGGCATATCAATTCCGGTCAGCTTTCTGCTGTGCTCTCACTTCTTTAGGAAAACTGTGCTTTTTTGAGCCATTTGCAAGTTACAAAACACTGTACTGTAACTTTCTCGTGTCTGTGCAGTCGGTGCGTGTGTCCTGTTACCAAACCTGGCTGTCGGGACTTGCCATTCTCTATTGTGCATCGTTACATGAGCATCACCTCAGAGCGCTCCGTCCCCTCCGACATCTTCCAGATTCAGGCCACCAGCGTTTATCCCGGAGCCTACAACACCTTCCGCATCCGCTCAGGAGATGACAATGGAGACTTCTACATCAGGGTGAGATTTGAATTATCCACTTTTATTGATCTTAACTCTTCACTGCTGTTGGATTTCCAAAAGTTGCCCCATTAGATTGTAGCTTTTGGATCAGATTATGTCCTGCAATCTGGCAATTTCAGACATTTAACCAAATCCAGAAGCCAAAATCTGATAGGGTAAGTGGCCCAGAGAAGAAAAAGCCCTGTTAACAGTGGAAGAAAGCCAATGTTTGAGGACAATGCAGTCGTATTTTGGTGCCAGCTTTTCAGCTTACAGCTATTAATAGCCTGAGGAGAAGGGGGGCACTTCAAGGCAAGATTGCTGATATATTGTAGGTTAGTGTGTGTGCCAAGCTGGAGCTGTAAGTGTGTGGAGTAAAGTAGATTGCATGTGCCAGCATAGAAGAATTACAGCCTTAGTGCAGCCTCTCACAAAGTCCATTATGACCAGAGGAGTAGAGATTACACCTCACTCATAACAGGCCATTATTTCCCATTAATCATTTCTCAGTAATGCCATGTTCTAAGCACACCCTGTGGTCTCTTCTCTCAGCAAATCAACAACATCAGTGCCATGCTGGTGCTGGCCCGTGCCGTGAATGGACCCAAAGAGTACGTTTTGGACTTAGAGATGATTTCGGTCAACCCCCTCATGAGCTACCAGACCAGTTCTGCTCTTCGCTTAACAGTCTACGTGGGGCCTTATGCTTTCTAAGAGAGGATTCCATTTAAAGCCACAGAGGGAGGGGTGGGGGGTGAATGGCTAGCAAATGAAAAAGTGGTAGAGGTGTGGACACAAGGACGACTAACATATCAAGTAAAGGCGAGGGAGATATTGGCATGATTAAATACTCCAGTGTTTTTTCAACCTAACCTATCTGGAACATCAATACCGTACTGACAATTACCTTAGACAGTAAATTTGACACTTTTCCATAGGGATGCACAATGATTTCAGAATCATATTGATATTTGCTTTAAAAAACGTAAATTTCACATTTTTCTAGTATTTGAAGCCTACACAAGTTTGGGGGATTTGGAGCTATCTGTGATGTGTAATTGCACACAACATCCGGAAGAACATTTTGTAATATTGGTTGTGCTTCCATGAGTGGATGAATCTCATGATTGTGAGCGCACATAAAGTATTCAAAGAGAACTCAAAACGAGGTGAAGGATGTGTCTTCTGACGATGTGAGTGAATTATCTACTACTGTCATCTTCCACAGTATAATGTTGATTTTGCATTTGCAATCTAAACATTCAGCTGTTAACCTAAACATGTGACTTTAATTACTAATGATGTATGATGTGGTCCTGCAAAATCCGACCCGACACCTCTGATATTTAAATTACCAAATTTCAGACTTCACAGTGACTCGCAGCACTGCACACATACCCCATATTTTAGAGTCTTTCTCCTGACCCAGTAATGCTACTTCTTTAAATTTTAACCAAAAATCTTACGCAGTGCAGCTTTAATTCTACTCCAGAAGAGCAAAAGTTATAGGTCTTTAGGTGACCCTGGGGTGCTGTGCTAAAATGTGTGTTTTTTTAATAAATTTTACTGCAGAATGTACAGAAATGAATGTTTTATTTCACTATTCATGCTAATTCAGGTAGGTTTCCCACTTGTTAGTCCCAATTTCTACATTGTATTCTATACAGCTTATGTATCAACATAAAAATATGAAAAATATTGGATGTCGGCCCACAATTCCCATTTAGGCGCATCCCCACTTTTCTCTGTACTTCAGCCAGCACCTGCCCATTGGCTTCCATCAATGGTATGATTCAAGTCAACAGGTTTTCAGTTATTTTACTAAAAACAGAAAAGTGTTAAAAGTTATTGTCCCTGGTAATCAAGCATATGCTACAGATGCAGCAGATAGAGACTAGGTTAAAAAATTCTGGAGTATTCCTTTAAGTTTGCTGGTCTGCCAAGCAGTCTCCTGAGAAATCAAACAAAACTACACAACTACTACATCACAAAGTCTTGAAGACAGGCACTATGTTTTGCAGATATATTCACACAACACATGATGCTACTATATTGTGTTGTGTTATAGAAATAGCGAAGATAGCAGCTGCACTATGATTTCAGAATCTGCTGTACGACCTATATAGGCTTTCGTTTTCTTTCATCTGGCCTTTCTTATCCCTCTCATGTCATCTAGGCTCATTTTCAAGATGGCTACTTTTGCCCGAGGATGTTTTTTATTCTATGTCTGCCTCTTGGTGCAAACTCATTCCACTGATTAGTTCCTCTGCCATAGCACTCACTGATGGACCAGCATAATTACATTACGTTCCACCTCCCCCTCCCTCTTTTTCAGATATATGTAGCAGTGTTAAAGCACAAATACTATATGCGCCTCTGCATACTGTCCTTCAGTCATGATCATGATCGATCCTCTTGAGCTTAGTGTACATTGGGAGACGCTGCCGTTATTCAATAACCACTCAGTCCTCATCTACATCTCTACATCCTCTACCAAGCCAAAACCATCACTAATATTCATTTTATTATTATTATTATTATTGTTTTTTTGTAGTTGTCATACCATGCTGTCAGTGTTGTACTTTTTATGTCCTGGAATTATTACTGTAATAAATATGATAATACCAAACCCATCTGGCTACAGATCCGTATGTGTGTGCCTTGACTTGATTTGCATCAGGATCTAAATTTAGCACTGACGCTAATCCTGGTTCTTTTTTTATCTCTGTGCTTTGCCTACTCACTCTATGCATGTGCCACACTGAATCTGTCCAACTTCTCCCTCCTGAGTCGTCTGACTACACAATAGATCAAAATTCTGATGTGGAACCTGTTGACCAGCAACAGCACAGCTGAGGCCTTCGGCGTCACTGCCTGGGGTTCACTGTTTAGAACCAGGCACAATAAACAAGCAAGCAAATAAACAAACAAACAATCTGATATCAAAATGCTCTTGAGGTCCAGCCTTAGTTCATCTTTAGATCCACATTCTTGGCACCGTTCAAGCAAAGACCATTTGTGCGCCAGTGTAATTTGTTTTCAGTGCTGCTTTCGCAAAAGCTGCCAAAGCAGCTTAGGAGAGTTTTTTGGATCGGATGCAGCGAGTGAGCCATGAAGAGCTATTCCCGGGAGCCTCAGCAGCATAATGCCTTATGGGGGATCCCACTCTGCTAGCAGGGAATCCTTTCCTGCTTGGCAACAGGCAGCTGTTACGGACACAGAGCCGAAGAGACAGGAAGAGCCCGGATCATAATAGGATGACTGTAGTTGGAAATGTGGGATAATGAGATAATCAGTAGGACAGTGGGATAATCTCATAAGACAAGTGTGCGTGCATGTGACCAGTGTAACCTAACAAAGGGGGGTGTGTTCTAATCATTAAAGGATGACCAATTCAATCTTCCTCCATCAAAATGAACGATTCATGATTTCTGCATTATTAAGTGGTTAAGAAGTAAACAGAGACATTCAGAGTGGTTTGAGGCGACAAGCTCTGTCAGAGTCAGAATTGTTCACTGTGCTGGTGATAGGAACCAGACGTCTAAAGAGTTTAATGCATTTAAAAGCTACCTCACAGAAATTTATTATACGAACTGGTTATGAACACGTTGCCTTTTTCAATACCTTAATAGCAGAGAGGTATATGCAGGGCATTGTAAGGCAAAACAGTACCCAAAGAAAACTTGTTTTATTCAAATTTACATCTATTCTATTATTATCAACATTACATATGAAGACTAGGTAAAGTAAATGCTATATTTGCATAGACGTCATAACCCTTGGTCCTTTCACCACTACTGTAAAGAAATCTGAGTTAGTGTAGTTCATTTACTATAAACCATTTCACATTAAGCCAACCTGAATGACTTTGATCACATCGCAGTGTTTGAATTATGTAGAAAATCTCAAAATGTATTAATTTCCCTTTAATCCACTTCTGAAAGCATCACAGATAGAATGAGACAGTGAGTTCAGCATGGCCAATTCCAAGTGCCAGTTAGGGGTATAAAGACTCCCAGCACTGGGCTGTGGAGAAGTGGACCTGCATTCCCTGGAGTGATGGAGCACCATCCCATACCTTTGGGATGAGTTGGAGTGATCCAGGACTGATCATCCAACATCAGTACCAACCCTCACTAATGATCTTGTGGCTAAAAGCAGTCAAATCCTCACAGCAATGTTCTAACATGTAGTACAAGAAGAGTAGAGACTGTTACTGCAGCAAAGGGGGACAGAATCTCTATTAATACCCTTGATTTCAGAAGAAACGTGGGATGAGCAGGTCTACATATAGACATATAGTGTATGAGTGCAGTTATAGATGGGCTAAGTGTGAACACTGCATGTGCTTTTTAAGACTGCCAGTCTCAAAAACCAACATAGTCAATTAAGTTAAAAAAGAGACAACACGAATCCAGGATAGAAGATAAGCGGTGATGCTCGTAAGTCAAAGCTTCAGCGGCCTGCCAGCACCACGCACCATCCCAGTGTCCTCCCAGTATACGCCAACACACACACATTCCCCCATTCTCTTTTCTTACTGATGATGACTCATTCTCTGCAAAGTCTTACATAATTATAGCAGGGAGATTGTGACACTTGTCTGCCACAGGGGGGCAGTGTGGCACACCGATTCAAAGCTGAGCCCAAAATAGGAACAAACTGAAGTGATGGAATCTTGCTGCTAGTTTTGTAACCTAATTGACCAGTGAACCCATTTTTCCCCACTCTTCTTTCCATGAACTACTGAACAATGCTGGTGGATAGTAATTGGTTACAGGCACAGATGGACTTGTGTATGCTCACCTTGGCCATGGATAAATTAATGTATACTAAGACAGACAGACAGACTTAGAAAACCACACTTGATGGATCCCATAGACTAGGCTTTCTCCCCAAAAACATACACTCACCTATACAGTACAGTGAGTGTTGGAGACCGCTCTTCATTTATTTCCAGTCAAAACATTCATTAGTAACAAATTAATCATTTTTCAGGAGATATTTCTGAGGAGATAAGATATAAATGAATCCATTTGCTTAAGGAAGGGAAAGTCAAAGGACAATAAATAAAATAAAAAGAAGTTTCTAAAACTGGAGTTCAAAAAAATGATTAAAAGATATAGAGAAGTGGGACTTCTAACAACCGTGCAAGATCTGGTAGACCACCAAAAGTGTCACCATCAGATAACACTCTTTGAAAAGATGGTTCTTCAAGGGTTCTTCAGTTAAAGAAAATTGTTCTATGCAGAACCATAACACTCAAAGAACCCTTTGCATGATCAAAGGGTTCTTTGCGTCATGAGAGGGTACTTCAGATTGATGTAGAATGGTCTGTAGATGGTTCTATATAAAACCTGTTTTGAAAATAATGTTTTTTCTATTGTTACCATGTCAAGCTTGTAACAACAGAAGAAATTGTTTTGGTGCTATATAGAACCATTTTTAAAAAGGTTCTATGTAGTTTCTACAGCACATTCTCCATCAATCTGAAGAACTATGCACTACGCAAAGAACCCTTTAATCATGCAAATGGTTCTTTGAGTGTCTATAGTTCTATATAGAACCCTTGAATACTATCTTTTTTAAGTGTGTACTGAAAGCTTTCATTTTAGAGAGATCAAAAAAATTGAGCTGCACTTTTGTTTTTGATCTGAAAAAATCCACAGGTGTTTCTTGCCATCCTTCCACTGTGAGAAGAAACTCAACGCTATAGGTCTGAAAGTATGCATATCTGTCAAGAAGCTATTACTGAGAAAATGTATTAGACAAAAAAAAAGAAGCTGCTGGTGTTCTCAGAAGAATGGACTGTCCGAGTCCAGACCTCAACATCACTGAATGTGTTTGGGATTACTTAAATAGTGAGAAGCAAAAAATGCAACCAACTTCTAATACTGAACTTTGTAGATGTAAAAAAGATCCTTGCAGGTTGTTTTGAAAGCCTCCTGAAAAAAATAAAAGTTGTAATAAAGGCAAAGCGTGGACACATTAAATACTGAAAAAAAATTATATTTCTTATTCTTATACTTCTGTGTAATTTTCTGTTAAATATATGTCTTCTCTTTTTCCCCTGACACTGAAAAAATTAATAACTTGTACTTAATGGGCGTTTTAACTGAAATTGAATTAATGAAAGTGTGTTTTCTGACTTTTGCACAGTACTGTACATACATACATACTCCAGATGGCTCCAGCAGGGCCGTTAGATCAGCACCTCTTACTGGGGATCATGACAAAGAGGTGTAGTTTGAAGGAGTGTGTGTGTGTGGGTGTGTGTATGGAGGATGTGTGAGGACGGGACATGCTCATGCCATTTCCTGCTGGATCTCCGACAAACCACACACCCAACCGTGAGCGCAGCGGCAGGAGCGAGCCGTGCTGTACCCGCCCAGTGGGCACGCGGAGAGGTGGGCAGGAAGAGCGGTGCCAGCATGCCCCCGCATGCGGAGGAGGCTGTGAGCGGTGAATTGTGTGTAGATTCGATTTAAAGATGTGCGCTGAGTTTTGTGTGTGTGTGAAAGAAAGTGAGTGAGAAAGAGAGAGAGGGGGAGAGAGAGGGAGAGACAGAGAGACAGAGAGAGAGACAGAGAGACAGAAAGATTAAGTTTGGGCCAGTCCCCCTCCAAAATGTAGGTGTAGGTGGGTGAATGGGAGGGGGTGGGAGAGAACTCCAAGACTAGGAAACACAGTCAACTTAAGTAGCCACAGACCAGCAGTGGATTAGATAGGGCTTCCATGCCCATGTTCATTCCTTGTATCTGACTGTCCGTGTCCACTTTTCTAGATGAGTTCATAACTAAAGGCACAAGACATGTGCAACACTTCATGTACATAACTCTGCTGACCCTTGCCCGAGGTGTACTGTGAAAGAGGTTAAAAAGCAGTTTCCAATGGTCTGAAACAATACTGTTGATTGTGCAGCCACTAGTGGTCCCCGGAGAGCAACAAGGTGGTCCATGAGAGACATCCACGCACTTTTCAAAATACAAAAATGTAGTAGGCCTAGTATTATTGGGGCAAGGTTTGGGTGGGGGGGTTAGGGGGTCATGTGTCATGTGTCTCCCACTTTTTTAAATTACGCAAGATAATTTATGTGGGGTAGCAGGATGGCTGTCAAAAATGTACACAGCTTATATTTTTGATAATATTTTCCAATAAATCTCACGTCACATTGCTTTTTCATACAAGCTAAAACAGAGAACAACTGCAACTGAGCTGTGCTACAAAGAGTCTCGATCAGTGTGCAGCAGCACTTGGTAAAGTATATAAAAGACACTACCTTTTATTTGTGGTAACATTACATGGTTATTATCTATCTTTGATATGAAGCATCCACATATTTATTTTTTTTGTTATTAATATTGTTTGTTTTTGCATTTTAACATTGACATATAAAGCATTAATATCACAAGAACATGGTAACTTGGCATACTTTGTTTACCTAGTTTTATGACTGAAATGTGCTACTTTTATTTGGTGCTAGCATTCTATGTGAGTTATAGCCTAATTTAACTTTTCAGGTCAAATCTGCACACCTGCCTGGTACATCATATTAGCAAAAATGTTTAACTCCCCGAACCACGGAAAGGATCCAATTTATTCTCAACCTGTACCCACGACTTTGAGATCCAACATGACCAGGC